AAGATAATTTGAATATTGCCGTAATTTTTACATATTTAGTCAAAATTTGAACTTTAAATGCTTATAAAAAAAAATTGTGACTAAATATTTCTTTTATTTTTCAACTGCTATTGTAAAAATATGTTAGGAGCCTTGTATTATATTTTCAAATCTTAGATATAAAAGGAAAATTTAGAGTTACACCAAAATAAGGAAATCGCTAAAAGTGAAATGTTGTAAAAATTTAAATTTCAAATACTCATAAAAATTTCATTTTTATTTCCGGTGGACTTTTTATTTGTGATAAAGATTGAAAACTTTTAAGGAATCTTATATTAAATTTTCAAATCTTAGATATAAAAGGAAATTTTTTAATGAATTTTTAGCATAAAATAATTTATGCATTTTCGTGATTTTTACGTGTGTTGTCAAAATGCAAACTTTGAATGCTTATAAAAAAAAATTGTTGCAATGAATTACTTTTATTTTTCAACTGCTATTGTAACAATATGTTAAGAGCCTTGTGTTAAATTTTCTAGATTTTCTGCCTAACGAATAAATTTTTATCGATATTAATTTAAAAAAACTAATAATGATCGAACATTTCAAATGCCTATGAATAGTTCAACTTAAGTCAAAATTTTTTGAAAATTTCATGGTGGATACAATATAATTATATAAACATTCGGTGAAAATTTCATGTATCTATGGTCATTTTTTTTAAAGTTACATCAAAAACCAAAATCAATTTTGTCGAAAAATGAGTGCGTAAATTTTGAGGGATATTAGCATGCTTTATGAATCACTTTGTAAAATGTCTATGTTATTACCCTAAAGAAAAATTATTGACTTTTACAAATTGTAAAGAAATGATATCATTATATCATTTTCATCACAATATAAATTAAAAATATTTTGYAGCCATAAAATACATTTCTCGTGTTTCTGTACATTAATAAACAACCATGCAGTACATCTTACTCTCAATAATAGTCAATTTTTATTCCTTTTAGATATCAACATTCAGCAGAAGGGTAAAGTATTTGATTACTGTTCTTCAAAGTAGTAATTATCTACTCAAATGACTTCGATTTCACCGTATTACACATATGTGTATCACAGAGATATTACACTGTCAATTGTATTCACTAATTTATTCATTACATAAAAATATTTACAGTATTTAATTCTGTTTTCATCTTTAACAATTAGTTTTAAGTAAAATAATACAGCATTATCTAAATAAACATTTATTTTTATTTATTTCTATAATTTTTATAAATTAATTCTAAATTGTTTGAAAAAGTTTATAACAGGATTTGAGGAAATTCAAAAATTAACAATATTAAAAAAAACCGTGGTGCATTCGATAAATATTTTTTAGTGAGGGGCAAAATCGATTTCGAGCATATAATCTTTCAGTGATGCGTAATATGTAAAAATCAATTTCCATTAAAGGGATTGGGGTATTTCTCGATTTTACAAGCTAAAATAAGATAATAAAGACACATAGACACTATTTACCGGTTTCCTTAGAAATTAATCAAAAACGTTTATATATCAAAAAAATAATTTTTATACCATTATAAACAAAAAAAAAATAAATATATAATATATTTGCTTTCCTTCAGTCTGAACCTTATTACAACACAAACTCGAACTTTTAAATAGGTATTGGAATACATTGGATAAAAAAATATTTAAGTATTATTTGTGGTACTTTTTTTTAGTGATATTTTATTTAATTCATCAAATAAATTTTAAAATAATTATTTTCAATCCTGTAGACGATTTGCAGTTATTTCATAATGATAAAACAATTACACTCACATTTCCGCATAAAAGAATTATTTTAATTTCAGACTGTTTTACAGTAAGTTTTGCTTAATGTGATCACTGGTTTATCAAATCAACCGTTTATTGGAATCAAAATTGAAAATCCAAAACTTTGGAGTACCAATTTAAAATAGTTCAACAATATAATATCTAAATAGTTGGTATTGTATTAAGTATAGAATGCATAGTTTTCTGTTTTCAGAATATTTTAAGTATGTTTTGATAAAAAATGAAAATCATTCAGAAAGAATATTTTTAAATATTAGGTAATAATATACAATTATTAACGTATAACTATAAGCGTATAACGTATAATTTATTTATTTTTTTTTTTTATTTAAAATTAAGCCGCAACAACAAAGATTATTGGCTGAAGTTAAATTTAACATATGGTGATAAAGGAGGGATATTTATACAATTCAAGCTTGGGGTGTGAAGGTGTGTATAATTTATTATATAGAATGTATGCTTTGTTTACTTTCTTAATGTCTGTGTATAGGTAAATAGGTAACTACTATTGTGAAAATAATTTGTTTTTAATTTCATTTATATACTCGAATCGTTTTGGATTTGTTTTTGCATTTCAAATCCAATTTTATATTAAACAAAATGATTGGAACGACGAACGTGTTCGGTTCGAAACCATATTTTGAGTTTGACCTTCCTTTAGCACCTAACTATGGAGGTATACTTTTGGCAGAAACAGGTACCTAATAACCCTGTCTCTACATTCTTCGACAGGTACGTACCGTACAGTTTTTTATTCTAGACTGTTTTACATATTATTATTCTCATGAGTAGGTAACTTCCGATAAAAAACAAAAGTCGTACTAGACTACTAGAARAATATTTTTAAACATTAACATACGATAATTTATGCATGATCGTTTTGTTGACCTTCTTTATGTGTTTACCTACTATTGTAAATATTGTGCGATGGRTAGTTTATGTATACACAAATATACGTAAAACACAGGAAGCGTAAAATGTTTGTTTCTCCATTGTTCGTATCGACCCTCAATTCGCAGGGGTTTGTGCATGTTTGATCGTTAAATATTTATTATTGTATATTGTTTTGCAATCCAGTCGACATCGTCAAAAACAAAACGAAAAACTGACAACACAATAACGTTTAAAAATATGTATGTAAGTTTTAGTAGATAATACTAATATCTATTATGTACATATTAATAGCATAGGTACACATATTATACTATTTTAATATCAAAATTTGAATTATACATAATTTTAAATTACCGTAACCTTGGTAACCATTTTATTGACGAKCGATTGAGTTTGACTACCGTGATAAGTTATATCGTCTTTAAACAGGTAGTATGTAGGTATAMACACCAAAGGTAATAAGATATCAACGATTCATGAATGGAAATTAATTTTTTACTGTTCGTAAATGAATGCTACATTAACGCGTTACAATGTCGTCTAAGCCAAAACAAGATGTACTGGCAGAAGAGGAAACAGACGAAGACTTCATGACGAGAATAACTCAACCTAGAATATGGACAGTCTTCAAATCAGAATTCATTTTTCAAGTATTTATAGACGAGCGATTCGATGAAGTCTTAGATATGTTTAAAGTAATTTATTTTAATATCAATATCGTCTTAATATTATATAATAATAATCTGTATTTAAGGTGTTAAAAATATTTGGAAATGCTTTATAATTACTGTTTGATAATTTTAATACTTAGAGGTTGTAGTTAATTTATCTTCGTGTATTTTAAAATTAAAAATCTAGCTATGATTGATAATATTTTATAAAATGTATTTTATTTTGAAACTGTTTGAACATTAAGTTCAGAAAATGTTTACACACCTATAACACAATAAGTAATAGTAAGGGAGACAAGTACGAGAGGTTTCCCCATTGCTTTTTATCCGGGTCAATTATCATAATCAAAAAAAAATATTGTAATGAAAAGAATTACAAATTAAACATTTTTTAAATTAAAAAAACTTTTTTTTACCAAGTGACATTTATTTGACTTGTTTATAGCGTCTGAACTATATAAAYGTTAAGTTATAAAAAAAAAACATTTTTGACATGTAATGGTGTGACAAAATACAATATCAATGAAGTTTTTACTTCTTTGATAAAAAAAAGAAATTAATGTTTATAGAATGAATCGAATAATTTGTGGCATCAACGGCTTAGCCCGATTTATAATTAATAAATGTTTTATTTTTGTTTTCTATCTAATTGATAACAAAATTAATTTCTTAATATGATTTGATTATTATTGATTTATTTATTTTATAAAATATTCTAAGACTATAAAATAAATTGTAAGTAACATTTTATATATTTAAAAAAAATGTATTTGCTAGAAAAAAATTGCATATCAATTAATTAAAACAATTCTGCTATCTGCAATATTATAATAGGTTCTAACTAACTGCCTCCATAGTTAATAAATAACGTGTGTACATTTCACCTGCCTATATTAATGAAAACATGTTATTAACTCATAAACCATAATATTATATGTTCTTTTAACTAATCAGACGGTAGTGAAACTAAAAATTGAAAAATAAAAATATTCCCCCATTCGTTCTCGCATTGATAATTCTTGCAATCCATCTTTGAGTTTAAGTATTCAGTTTATTATTATATTTATTGGTACATACTCCCTTATCAGATATTAAATTACATAAATGTGTACTTTCTTAAAATGAAATTCATATGAAATTATGTTTTAAAAATGATTCTGAAATGACTKAATTACTGATAAACGAACATAGGATTSTATAAAACATGCAAATTATTATTCAARTTCTGAGGTTTGGTAAAAAAAAAATAATCTTAATGCGCTCATAATAATATTTTCACTTAGTGAACTAAGTTTTGGATTATGTATTTCTGGGTTTAATTGTTTTCTTAAATAATTAATTTTTCTATGATATTAAGTTCTCAATTTATGGCAGATAAAGGAAGTCATTCATTCAACACAGTGACAAGTAAAATCATGAAATCTAAAAATAGAAAATAATAAAATAAAATAAGTGRCTAAAATTACATAAATAATTATAAATATTAAATATAAATAAATAAAACTAAGGTTCCTGCCAATAGTTATATTAAAATTATTGTATTTRAGAGTTAATGYTAAAGGTCTGCTGTATTGTTCCCTATATTTATAAGTGTTGGAGAATGATACCAGATGTAAATATTAAAATTGCACTATTACCTTCTTCCTGATCGTCGGAGGGCTTTCGAGGTCGTGATTCAAGAATAAGATCAAATACACCATGGTTATAAAATATTGATATATGTATAAATTATAAAAAGGTTAATACATATAATATGATTCTTATGCACTTTACCTTATTTTCAGCTTAATTTTATTTATGCGAATAACTTAAATAGGTTAAAAGATTTTAAACACTCGAATCCAAAAAAATATGACACTGATATATTTTCGTTAAAATAGAGAAGGCCAGTTGTTGCTCGTAGGATCCGATGTGGTTAATTTGGCTGGTCCTCCTATATTCGTGAGAGGTTATTATAGTGGTGGTTGGTGCTCGTGCACTGATGAGAGTAGATTACATGGTCAAGCCAGCCAGAGTAGCAGGTGGTTCCATCAAAGGCCTCTATGTTTCCAAAGACTTGCATTGTCCTTGGTAACAGAGACCTCCATTGGACCATCCCTTGTCTCTGGTGGCAGATGAAATAGATCACACGTGTTGTACCAGATTGTCACAACTACGTTTAAGTTCCTATATGACCAAATAATGAAAATCGTCCCTTTTATTAGTGATTAATGGTGTTTTTTAGATTTTAATGGTTATCTGCGTGTGACAACTTGACCGTTATTTATTTTATTGAATATTTWAACAACATACAACCACGATAATATGTGAGGCAATTGTGAGTATATCTTTACACCTACTTCTATCGATTTATGTCAAAACGACCAATGTATATGTATTAATTTAAGCATACTAAATCAGAACTGTTGGTCGTTTTTACACAAATAATATGATCAAATATTAAACCAACGACGTTGATTAAATAATCTTAAATTTGTACAAATTTCATAAAATTTACCTTCTGAACCTTCATTCTTCTTACACCAAGCCACATAATTGTACCAACATTATTTATGGCGGGTATCTACCTAGGTTCTAATAACGCATTTTTATTATTATCCAACTAGTATCCCATCCCATTTCATTAATATGATATTGATTTATGTTTTATAATATATCTAAATACGAAATTAGGTTTGAATTTAAAAATWAAGYAATCTTGCAATAGATACACAGTAGAATACTGCTAATTCAGCAATAGTAGAATAAATTATTATATAAATACAATTGATCAAATTAAAACAAAAAAACTAACATTCTTTTATTTTCAGAATCATTATATTCACGAAGAATCATTATGTAATAATAATACATTGTCATCAGATCAAGATTCAGTTGATCAATTTTTATATCTGATCAAACATTGGATCTCGGATACTTTATCATCAATCGTAATTGAAAAAAGCTCTGGAAAATGTATTGGAATAATAGTCTGCAGATTTTGTTCWATTGAAGATAACTCATTAGAGTTTAGCAGATTGAGGGTAATTGAGCAAATTTATTTTACAAAGTGATGGTATATATGGCCTACTTAATATATAGTTACATACAATAATTTGAAACCGGACAGCTAAATAATTAGATTCTGTTTAAAGATAAACACTCATTTAGTAGGAAAGTTTCAGAAAGTTTAGAATTTCGTAGTTAATTAGTTACTTGTAAAGACAARTATAGTTTATTTTAAGATGAATGGGGAAGTGGATCAATATTTGTTCAAATTAAAATTCTAAAATTCTAACGAAATTTAACARTTTTAAATATTATGTTCCTTAATTTGTAAAATATTAACCGTAGAGAACTAAAAACTTTTTACCATTATGAACATTGTTATTTTTCRTTACAATTATAATAACATTTTCAATATAAYATTATTCAGACTAATTTTAATCAATTTAAACCATGAATATATTCAAATTATTTTAGGGTACGTGGTATGCCAGTAATATTGACTTAAATAAATTAGTAACAATTAGTTGTGAATCTATAAATCTGAAACGGGAGGGAAGCTAATATTTTTTCTGAAAAACATTTTTATTTTAATACATAAAAAATTATAGATGATAATATTATGATTGAGATTTGATAAAAATATTACCTAACAGTGTTATTTATATTTTTAATAATACTACCTCATAAAATAATTACGGTCAGAATTTATATGCCTTAAAAAAACTATCGCAAAATACTCTGAAATCAAAAAAGCTTATCTTAGACTAATTAAATGAAAATACGTGTCCTAATATTATTATAATATGTTATATTTTCGGCTAAAATAAGTTCCGTCTATATACTGCTGCACTACTTATAAAAAAAATATTGATATWATTGTAATTATATACATCCTTAAAGTACAAATATTCTCAGAAAAAGTCTAACACTCCGTCTCCATTCAGAATAATTGTTTTTCACGTACACAGCAATGATTTATAATTGAATTCATAATAATTAACACGTCCATTACGCAGAGACCTTACTCTACGGTGATGATACTCGACAGAGTTGATTTTCCAAGTTTTTATTTATCTCTGTTTAGATGTAAGAAAAAAATATGTTTTAGTTATACGAAGGAGAGAAATGGAATATAATACAGAATTTCAAAAACCACTTGAGCCAAAAAGTTGATATTTACAAATATTACAAAACTGTAGCATTCTTCAGAATTTACGCTTGGTTTATTCTTCCTCCGTATAGAGGTCAAGGTAAGTGTGTTTTAGTAATATCTACATAAATGGTAGACCGTGCGTTTATCGGTAATTTACAAATACCATAATTATATCCCTTTCAAGTATAAGAAATAAGTTGTATAATAACGTATCGATCAAACACTCGAACGCAATACGAAAATTCATATAAACTCGGAGAAACGCTCAGTCAAAAAATAATATAATACGATGGCATTTCACTTGTATTTTATTAGTGTAATAGTMATAATTATACTATATAGGTATACCGCTATACGCGTACCTGCCTGGTTTAAATCGACTGAATTAATATTTGTTTTACAATACACAGGATTGGGTAAAAAACTATTGGAGTGCGTAATCAAACAACAGTTACCCGAGATGGTGCATCTGGGGTGCAACGTGATATCCGGAATATTCACTAACAAAAAGAGCCAAGGAATAGCAAATTCTTTGGGTTTGAAGGCTTTGTACGAGGCTAATTATCTTGAATGGGCTAATCAAAACAACGTAATGTTGACTAAAAACATCGAAGCTGAAAATGAAACAGTCAGTGTGATGGCTTGTCAAATAAATCAGAATCAATACGTATCCCTGCAGCTATAATGTACCTAATATTTGATGAACTGTCATTTTTCAGATATAAGTAGTTTTTGATTTAAAAGAGTTGATTTGATTGTTTATCGATTTTGTATGATACAATTTATATAACCACGCCTAGAGATAAATAAATATTTAAAATGGAATTTAATAATTTAATAATTTTTTTTAAATTTATACATTCAGCAAAATATTCTAATACAAATGCACATGTARAYATTTATTATTTGTTTTATTTAATTAAGAGATAACATGCAATTGTCGAAATTTAAAATTTCATCCAAGTAAGTCTTTTATGGAATGGTTACATTATATGTTACAGCTGATTTTTTTCGATGTGACCACGGAAAATGGCCATAGATTTTAACCTAAATTTAAAAAAAGCCTTTTTTCCATTATCTGTAATAAAAGTATTTATACTGTGTARACATGATCGAATAGGAATTTTTTTTGAGAAGAACGTTTTAAAGATCACACTTGAATATCGCACAACTGCCTCATACACAAAGCTACTCATGATRCAACAAATTTGTTGGACATAAGATATATTTTTAAATGTATAACATAAAGATATTTTATCTATTAGTGACTTTTAATATAGTCTCTCTGAACTAAAAAATTGAAAACAAGTGTTACATACATATATTTATGATTTATATAATATAAAAAATTATTTAGAGTGAAATCTTCCCTAACAGACTCATTTCTCTAAATATTGGACACCTCTAAACGGTTTTTTTTAGGAATAAACTGCAAACTTTTTACAAGTTTAACTATATCTAAATATAGTGAACAAAATTTCAGGGAACGAGAGTATTCATTATTGTAAAGGTTTCACTGTAATTTATTTTTTGTCACACACTTTACTTTCTTTTTACTCGGTTCCATTATATAATATTATTACAACGTAGTTTTATGTATTATTTCAATAAAATACGATAAAGATTATTATAGTTCTTACGAAATACCGTAGTAATAGCATCTCGACGCGAGTGTATCTAAATAGCCTATCCATAATGCCGTGCGATGATCATAATATAATGATATTATCAAACGATAAACAAACTTTCCATTTTATTAAACTAAACGTATTACATCATTTTTAAAAACTTTAGCTACAAAATAGTTTGCTATAAAAATGTTTAGTACTTAATWTGACTACATTTTTTTTATCGGATTCTATTATGTTGGTTCTTATATAGGTACTCTTTATAGTGTATATTTAGTGACGACTATAAAATTCTTAACGCGCGTTTAATATTGGGTAACTTTAGATAATGTATCATTATTGCATATTATTCTGCGGAATAAATTGTATCATTGTATTTTTTTTACATTAAACGTGATTTTTAAAACTTGAATTAGCTGAATGTAATATTATGCACTTGTTTAAGGTATATTATTATCTGAAAAATATGTCAATTTATCATATCAAATCATATCGAAAGAAATGTATAAAATATTTTACTCTAGTCTATTTCCAAGAGGACTTTGTAGTAGAAACTGGAGTTAATAAATTTTGTATTCGCTTTTAATACATTACCATATGCATTATATTGACTTTCTAGTTTCTACTATTTAGATATCTAAGGTACAGCAGAGCGTTATCCACTTAGCTTTTAATTTTTACATAAATATAATATTTCTTAAAAGTTTTATATAATATTTCAAGAAAATCAAATTGATAAAACTTTGAAACGCTTTTGGTTATTGCAGGTGTGATAATATTATGTAAATACACACTGATAAATGTGTAAGGTTCAGTTTTTTTTTTGCGAAGGTTTCGTTTATTCATTATTAGTCAACAATGGTACATGTACTCGTATATTCATTTTTGATACTTCTAATTACATTATTTCAATTTTAAAACGCTCGTTAAAATAAAYGATTTTAATTTTTTTGTTGCTTTTGAACTTAATAAAACCACCTAGCTTCGTACATTGTTGTAAATTATCGAATAACTGCATAAAATTATCAATAAATTAAAAACATTRCGTTACAATAAATACCATACAGCTTATAAAAGTAATAAGTATTCAGTTAAAWYGTAAATTGTAATAATCCATAAAAACATTAAATAGAATACAAATTATKAATACTATTATTCAGAATTGCCATCGAGTTCACATGCCATTTTTTTTTAGTACTGAAAATTAGATATAATTTCATCTTGTGTTACAAATAGTTGTTTTCTCATAAAATTGTATTAACAAATTATCATTACTATTTGTGAATAAAAAAAAGAAGCAAAATTAGSTCAAAACAACGTTATGATCGGTTTTCATAATAATTAGTGATGTGAAAAAGAAAAGAATATTATGAGAAACAGAAGGGTAATAAAAAATATATATCCATTGATAGTAAAGCAGGAGAGTATATTTTAAAATAAATTTATTAAACTATCAATAAAATGTAGATTCCTACGGTTTAAAATGTTGAGAAACACTGTACCAAAATTAATTTAATAAAGCCATATAAGGCAACCCAGAGAGCCCCACAAAGTGGTGGCTTCTATTAATTTCCAAAAATGTATTACGTTTGTGTCCATACAAATAATGAATATAAATTCTATATAGGCATTTGTCATTAATTGTTATTACGTCGTTAAGTAAAATGTTATATTATGTATACTGATTTAATAAATATTAAAATGTATGTTTGTGTGAATGTTATAGATTTAATGAACTTATACCAACTTAACTTTTTTATATTATACTGCTCGTTTTTAAGCCGATGTTATTTGACTTTCCCAAAAGTAGAACTTCCCAAAATGTTAAACTTTAAACCAATAGTGAAAAAAATTGTTTTATCATAATATTTGGTCGAAAAATGGACGTGGATGAAACGAGAAAGTTAATGTTTGGACGGAAAGAATATCGCCAGATATCGAACATCCAAAGAGAAGCCACACAAATAAATCTAGCATGCATGTAGTCAGTTATCTAAAATCATACTGCAATAACTGCAATAACTGCAATAACTGCAATAACTACACATAAAATCAGGGCCAATGGATTTAATCTCTTATCAGAATATTATTAATACAAGAAAAACAATGTTACTGACAAAAAAAAAAAACGGTTGTTTTAAAATTAAGGAAAAACATTTGTAAGTCAGGCGCAGAACTATTAACCTAACCTATATGATTTTTGATGATTTTAGTTGATTTCTAATATTTTATTCTAAATCAATAAGATTAATAATTGAATTATTGTTCCACATATGTTTTTTTAGTATCAAATACAAACAGCAGTTCAAAACTGTGGAAAAATATTTTATGACATTTGGAGGTCAAAATTTGACACAAATTAATATTAAAACAATTTGTATTAATTGAAACATAAAAAATTATAATAATAATTATTATTATTAATGTGAAAATTTATTGATCGACTTATTTGCAAAATAAGTGATTATAAATTGATTCTCAACTTTCACAAAACAATTGTACCTACAGTCATAAATATTTCAGTCTTCAGATGTAGTTGACATCAATGACATCTTTGGAATCTTTAAATAATATGATTAAAAAGACCTTGTTTTCAAATTATTGAGATGTCKGGTACCATTAATAGAGTATTCTATGGAGATGTAATTTTCTGTTTTTCAGACGACTCTTACCCTCATTTTGATTGTAAATTATTTGGTAAATTTACTTTTCTTTAATTTTGATTTATCGAAATTAAAATTTGAACAAGCATTTTCTTAGTTATCTATTAAACGTTATGTATTTATATGCTAAGGATATCACTGATGCTAATAGTTTATAAAAGCGAATAGGGATAATGCTTATTTAATTGTGTATATTATAGAGATAACGTAAAATAATATATTATTTAATGGTAATATTTTATTTAAAATATATTTAATTAAGTAGAGAGTAACCATACGAAGTGTAGGTATATACGGGTTATAATATATTGTAAAGGATATAGTGGAGAAACATGTAAGATATAATGTGTACAGGTGGTCGAGAGCAATAATTGTAGGTACGCGTCTTTTGGAGAAGAAATGCCTTAATGACTGCTACTACTATAGGCTGTATATCTTAGTGAATTAGTGGCATGTTTATGCAGTATGACACAAACGGCTATGGGCAATGTGCATAATATATGTGTTTAATCGTTCTGGTTTTAAGGTTGATTGGTTGATTAGTCAAATCTTTATATTTTTATAGTAGTATAATATGAAGACAAAACAATTGTAAGATATGTTAACGGTTCAGTTTTTTGTCTTCTATGGTCCGGATTCAGATCGCGGTCTGTCAGTTGCCGACCGTTGCTCTAGAGTCTAGAGCCTAAGAGCGAAAACATTACCTTCCTACCAACATTGTTTCAACCAGGAAACTAGTGCCATTGGCCGCTGGTGGCACTCAGATCAAGTTAGGTGAGTAAAGATACCACGCCTTACCAGACCTCTAATTTAGTTTTGTAMTGTAACTAAATTGTACATTATATACATACTATGTATTATTTTTTTGTATTATTATTATWTACAAATATATTTATACTTATTGTGCATACTGAAATAATTTATGTTGTACCTACAATGCGTTACATTTATACACAATTTTTTGTAAATGTAGTTTTTTCCCTGTGAATACAAATAAATCAGACAATAAATATTAAATATAGGATGGACTCAAAATGAAATCGTATGTAACAACTAGAATACTAGGAATTTGCCATTTTTATTCAAAGTAAATCAGAATTTCTCRGTATTTCATAATATTACTGTAACATCAAAGTACTGCATGCAATAAAATGGATAGGCGTATTATATATACTGTAAGTATATTAAAATTATTGAATTTTTAACAACAGTTTTTGGGACACAACCATGTTATAAAAAAATAAATACTAGGACACGCAAGTTATTGAGCTATCGCCTGTTTTTGAACTTTTTATCCGAACGAAACCCACCTATTAAATAAAACCAGAAGGTGGATGCGAATGGTAAGCACCGGAATCGTCATCCATCACTGCTCAGAATCGTTTTTCATAGCATAATATACTGGGTTTCACACCTATACAATGGTTTATATATAGCATCACAGTGACGGTGTAGAG